TCCTGCGTCACCCAAAACACAGATTAAATCATAAACACTTATCAATTGGGTTCATCATCAAAATCTGAGATTCAACACTATTATAAACCAATAGGAGCATAGTCGTAAGGCTCTAAGAATGTTATTCCTCGAGGGTTTTGTAACCGAAGATACAACTCAACGTGATGTAAAATTTCTTCTTTTTTCTCTTGTCAATGATCATTAAATTTTAAAAAAATTATAATAATTTTATTTATTTATTTATTTATTTATTTATTATTATTATTATTATTATTATTTTCTCTTTATTTCCTTCTAGTGGCCTTCCTCGTGTTAACAATTTTCACGTTTTCAACATGCAAATTGATGTCTGATCATTTGGGTCATTAAGCATTCAAATTTACTTACCTGGATCTGCCTTATAAAGAAGAGATCCCCCGTCTTCTGCTTTTCCTTATCGAATGATATCGAACATTTTCTCATTATAAATATTCATCTTTTTTCTTTTTTTTTTGAATCTTTCTCTGTTTCCCAAATCAAAAGAGAACCTATCATCATTTGACACCCGTGCGTGCAGGAAGGGCTTTTCCAATCATATTTTGAGTCATCTTGGTGAGATTTGCCTTAGGACTACATGAAATGCGATTCCAAGTTCCTTATCTATAACTTTTTTTTATTAAAAATATAATTTTGTTAGATTACTTGATTAAGTCTAGTAAATGAACAATCCAAGGGAAATCTCATATCTCGGAGCTTAATTAAGAATATAACAAGGATCTAAACCTCACTTAAAATTTGATTACAAATATTGTTCTCATATTTGATTCATTAATCGATTGGTGTATTATTATTAAAAAGTGAAATAAAAATTTGTTATCTCATGATAAAATTGTGCATTATTTCAAAGAATTTATTGTTAATCCACATTGAATTTTATAATTATTTATTTATTTATTAATATTCCACCAATTGTTAGATTTTGCGGTTGTTATTATATTCATATGCACATGCTTCGATAATTATTTATGCGTTTAGTTAAATAAATTAAATTATTCTAATGCATAAAATAATGTTATTCTTATTGAACGACTATTTCAAACCAATACCTCAAGTCAACATGAATGAATGACAAACTTTTGACTCATTATTTAAGTTTATCCTCTTCATTTCTCTATAAATCTAATCAACGATAGTTCAATTTTGGTGCTAATATACATACATATTTGCAATTATACTGATAAAGAATAATTATTTTCTTAGAATCATATACGGAAAACACTCGTGCTTCACGATGTATAAATGATATTAAGTGAATCCTAATTAGTAAATACTTGGATGTTCAATTTGAATATAAGATAATGATCACATCTAAATTTGTAATATCAAAGAGAGATATCTTTATTAATTAAATGTAATTCATATTTCAACCAATGAAAATTTTTATTCCTTCATGCTCAATTCTGAATCCCCTAATGTTTGGTATGATAAACTTGATTGATTATGCCAACTTTAGATGAATTAAAAAAAAAACCAATTTTAATTTGATCTCTGATCGAGTAATTAAAAAAGTTCTTTTTGTTTTCTGTTTCCTCCTTCTTTTCTTCTTTTCGCTTTATTTTCCTTTGTGATAGTGATTTCTATGTTTTCAGCATCCAAATAATCGATGACAGATATGTAATTAAAGATTCAAAATATTTACTTAAATAATAAAACCTCCTTTTCTGATTGTAATGCCCCCCCCAACCCAACAGAAAGTTAGAGACGGTACAATGTTCTAATCCTATAGGTTAGAATAATTATTACATAATTCCAATCAATAATCAATCTACCATAAATATTCATAACACGCTCAATAAATTAATTACATAATTCCATCAATGGTTGATCCATCATGTTTTTATTGTGTAACTCTATGAAAAAATGAAAGATAATTATATAAGTAAGTCATAACTCAATAAATATCGTGACTCACATGCTACTCAAAACTTATCATAAATAAATATTTGCTTAAAAATACATAATTTTTTTATACATTTAATATATATTTTAAAAATATGCATAAATATCAAATACTTTCATATAATTTATAAAAATTTAAATTTTATATAAATTTCCAGGTCATGTTGCTAATGTAAAATGCTTGAATACCAAATCCTTCATCATGCTTATACAATTTATAAAATATCAATTCCATATGCATTTTAAATTATAACTTTCTAATAATACTTTTCAAAGCAAGATGTATTGAAATATATTTTTGTAATGAAAGCATAAGTATAACTAATGTCATATATCATAACATAAAAATTATAGCTTAAAGACAATCATTCATATAAATATAGCCAAGGGTTCATAAGCATAAATATAGTTAAAGTGTACATGTTATAATAGAAGTCATAATACTATTAATGGCTAGCCATATCACATGCCCTTTTCAAAATGGATTCAATCATATATCATTTTTTAAATTCTTTTCAAATATAATATTGAATAGATATTTTTATATAAATTTAGATAAGATAACTTTAAAAATATTTATAAAATAATAAATAATTATTCAAATTAAGGTTTATCGTATCGTAACATATTGCTCGATATATCTTATTGTATTATATATCAATATGGCTCGGTATATACTATATCGATTGTTGGTGGGTACACCAATATGAATTGATAAAACGAATCATGGTTTAAACTATATATTTTTCTAAATTATCAACATATAAATTCTTGTATGTATTTACCAATTTCAAATAGAAACACATACATTAATACTTTCAAAAATAGATTAGACGAAATCCTGAGATACTTTCCTTGATTGCATATCTTTGATAAAAATATATTTTGATCTTTCCTTTATATATATATATATATATATATATATATATATATATATATATATATATATATATATATATATATATATATATCCTTCATAACATAGATATCAAATCATCTAAGTATATCAGAATTAATCAATCAATAATCCAATATACAAATCTAATTAATAGGAAAGGTAGAGAATTGAAAACTATATATATTATAAATTTTCTAGGCTTGATCCGAATCCATTTGGCATCAAAACGAATCCTCAATTATTTTTTTCTTCTTCTTCATCTTCTCTCTCTTTATTCATTTTTCTTCGCGTGCGCCAAAGCCATTTCCTCTTTCTCCTCTTATTATTTTCCTTTTTATCTTTCCTTTCCGCTTCTTCTTCGCGTCGTTTGTCCTTTTCTTCTCTTTAATTCCCTCTTCTGCTTTGTTGCTCTCTCTCTCTCTCTCTCTTTCTTCCCTCCACTTCCCTCTTCTTTCTTTCTTTTGGATCACTTTTTTATGATTTAATCCCTATAATTTTTTTATTTATAATCAATTCCTTTGCTAAAATTAGAAATATAATATTTATTATGATATCCTAATTAATCAAATCAGAAGTGAACTAAGATTGATTTATTATGAATATACCATGTTAATATCAATTTAAATATTTTGAATAATAGTTTCGACTTAATAAAGTTAACAAGTCAATGACCCCATTAGATCGGATCATAATAATTAATATTATAATTGATTAAATATTGAGGCATGATGAAAAATTGAAGTAAGAAAAATTTATTCGTACAAAAGACATTTCACATCACTAGAGAGATCGTAAGTTATGCCTTACATGCATCACATAGTAGAGTCATCACTGTCTTACATGCATAATATTTTGAATTTGATAGATGTTATATTAAATCTTAACAAAAATATCAAATATTTAAGTAGAAGAGATTATAATATCTCAATTAGTCTCACATTCAAAATAAAATTATTAACTTAAGTTTAAATATTTTTAACCAAGAATCACTTATCTCATTAGATGAGATTGTGATACAGTGACACTAATTTTCCAAACTTCATTCTTCTCGTTAGATATATCATCCCATGACTACTTTAATACCAAGTTAAATATGATTCTAAATTTCTTTTTTACGTAATCCGATTTATTTTCCAACGAGAACATCATGTTCGTTCAAAGAGTCCAAGTTTCCTGCGGAAACCCAAACAAATAGTAGGCTAAAGAAAAGAACACAAAGTAAGCGAGTGAGATAAGCGAGCGCCCGACATAATTATCTATCGTCTTTTCTTGCGGAATGGCGGGCGAGCGGGAATCGCTTCCGTGGTAAGCAAGTAAGTGTCCCTTCTTAGCTTAGCCCACAGTGGCGTCCACCGCCACCCCGTTATCACCTTTGTTTCTTTCTTTGGGTTGTGGGTCCGCCGCCCATGGGAATTTGCCCAAAGACTGGACCTTCCAACGACACCCCATCTCTCTATGCATTTAGAGAAGCTAAGTGCGAGGAATAACGAGCCTTGTTCTTGGAACAAGCGCCATTGCAGATGGGGTGAGGAGCGATGGTTTACATGCTAACTCAGATGTATCTCGGATTCGAATTTGTCGGATCAATTATTTTAATTAACCTGAATTTTCTTTTTTCCTGTCATAATTATCAAGTGGTCTGTATAAGGCACTCATTCGATATCGATAGATGTTCTTCTACCCTTCCCCCCACTTGCACAAATATCACGGATAGTCACAACCTTCCCGTGCCGTGCCTCCCACCCCTCGTATAACAATCTAATCACATGATGGTGTGTGGCCGCCATCATTCTCTCCCAAGCAACCACGTGTAAACAAAAATATCACGCTAAGACTCCTCTATTGTCGATCATCCTTACGGTGGGGCTCTCCTTAACTTACTCGTGTCCAGAACCAGCACCTCATCCTCACACACCAACACACCATTCTCTTCCACTACCAGCACACCACGTGGTAAATCCGGTTCACTCCGCCCTGGCATCCTGAGGTCGTCCAGGAACCAGGGATGTCCCTCCAACGAAAGTATGCTACGTGAGCCGTACCACCCGGTTCTAGTCACGTGCGTGATCGGGGCGTTGATCTTTTCCCCGCCTCTCTCTCTCTCTCTCTCTCTCTCTATCTCGCTCTCTTTCTCTCCCTCCTGCGAGTCACTCTGCGCCTCTCTCTCTCTCCCGCGAGTCACTCTGCGCCTCTCTCTCCTCCGTCGTCGTCGTCCTTCTTTTTCGGTTTCTTCCGCCAATCACCGCATCGCTTTCTTCTTTTCTCCTATTAATACCCTCCGAAGTAGAGCAAGCAAGAAGCTCTTCCTTCAGGAGGAACGTCTCTCCCTCTCTCCACTTCTCACACCCCCGCCCCCGACTCAGCGAATCGACATTCTTGGCGTGTCAAGGAAACCTTTCTTTTATTTGCGAAGGTAAATTTCTTAAGTGAATTCTTCGGGGTTCGAAAACCATAATCTCCTCCTCGTTTATTTATACCAGGAACAAAAATTCAGAGATCAAAAGGAAAAAATAATTAAGTCTCAAGAAAAATTGAGCTTATTTGTTTATGGCCTTCTTCGCAATAATTCTAGGGTTCGCCCTCGAGCATTATATAAATCTTAGTCACACTTCCATGACCATTCGTCCTCCTGCTTGATGCGGTCCCTGGAGCTGCAAAGTCCGATTTTAACGTTTCCTGCTCGTTCCGGTTCTTGGTTCCGCTGGACATGAAATAAAGCCGGGCCAGTAGTCTAGACAAAATTTTGATTAATCTTACTTTCTTCATGTTCTTTTTGTCGGAACTGGTGGGTTCAATTGTCAATCTCAACTTCTTGATATTTTTGAATTTTGCAATGCCAAGAAGATCCATGTTCGATCTGATCGGATGTCCTTAAGATTAATTAGCTTCCGTTGAGTTCGTTGATTATGACATTCTATCAAGTCCATGTACTCAAAGTTCAAATATGTGATTTCTAATTATGCTTAGGTCCCATGTCCCAGAATTCCTTACGGCCACAAACTGTTTCAGTAAAGTTTTTGTTTGCGCTTTATGAATATTTTCATATATCAGAATGGTCATGAATTTTTCGTGAGGACCAGAAATACAACTTTCTGATTGAATTATTGGTTTTGATGAGATCCTTCATAGCTTTCTCCCATGCAGGGTACCCTGCATAGACTTTGCATTCACCTGTCCTTTTTATTTCCTACTATATTATTTCTAGAACTAGCACCAAGGTAACTTCTAGTTCGTGTAAAGCGCTACATTCAATTTGAGCTTCAGTCTGCATTTAATTACCTTCTGAAGTTGTTATTGCTGGGTTTAAGAGTTGGTATATGATACAGGAACATGAGCAATACTGTTGGACACACCTTACCCCAGCAAGCTCTTTACCGGCCTTCTATCAAAGAAAATCAAAGTAAAGCTCATCAAGGAGTTTCTGCAAACTTCTTGTGTGGAGTTCCATTAGGATCTAAGGTGGAAAATGCAGTGTCATACAGCTCTAGGTCACTGCTTTCAACCGGATCCCTGGGAAAGAAACTCATCAAAGGAATCCCACCAAAGCAAAATCGAAGCATAGTCACTATGACCCCTCGTGCTGTGTTGGCTGCAGATCCTGCTTCAGAGGTGAGTTTGTCTCTTTGTTTTAAAAAGTATACCTTACTTTTTTGACATACAATTATTGCAGACTGTTGCTAGATTAACTTGTAAACAACTATATCTAATTGAGCACCTACCAACTTCATCAGAAACGAAGTACCATTCATACTTTATGCCTTCTGTAGGATATAATTCGTATCTTTCTATCTTTCCTTGTGTTGGTCACAGTCAACTTTCATGCTGCTGACATATTTTCTGTTTCTTTTCTACTCATGTCTCTGGCAAATTTAATTTTGGAATCAAGACCAACTGGCTAACATGTTAATTCATGCTCAGAAGTACTAGGACCTGGCTCACCTTCTCATGAGCATTTAGAACGAAGTCCATTTCATTGGCCATCAATCAAAACAATACAAAATTTGGTTTGGTAGAAGATCACAAAATCTTGACTAACTTGTTAGGTTCCATCTTTACAAGGAAGTTGTTTGATTGAAGATCTATCATTACAAGAATTTTTTTTTCATCATATAGAAAGGGAAGCTTATGAATCAGATATATCATAAAATATAATTATTTTTTAATAAAATCTAAATATTTATCTTATATGAAGAAGGAAAGAATAAGTGATTGATTTGACTTGATGTAATTGTATCTTTTCCTTATTTCTGTATATTCCTTTTCTTCTTGTATTGCAGAGTCTATAACAAGGTGAAAGGATATCGCAGCAAGAACATTGATTAAACAAGGAAAGAACAAATGAATTCTTGTTTTCTTTTTTACTATAAGTGTGAATAGTGTGAGGCGATAATCCATCTCTGAAGTGAGTTTGGAAGACTTGGAGTGAGTCCAGAAAATTACTAATTTTTTATCTTTCTCTCCTCTCTTCCCCGATTATCATACTACCCAGATTTCACCAATACATAATTTTAAAGCCCCCAAATCCCTGCCGTCCTACAATTTTCTTTGACTATATGTGATCCACCAAACCTTAGATTGCTGAAAACCTGATATTCTTGGAGGCTTGAAGCTACCTAGAATTGGAAATTAGTGGATCAACTTCACAATTAAGTAAAATTATTCAAAAAGGCAGCATTCCCAACTCTCACTAGGATCGTCTATAATATAACCTGCAGAATTTTTGGTCGGACCATAATGCGCATATTCCTCACATTTAACTCATAATGTTTTTCTTTCGTCCTTTCACTTAAATGTCAATCCTATTCCATTATTTGACCTAGAAGCTGGTCAATGAGTTTGTGCATCATGAGCATCTGAGAACAAATCTTTCCTTTTTTCTATTATCTCTTTTTCTTTTTTCCTTGTTCCTTACTTGTTATTGACCTTAATAGTCTCTTTAGCATAAGTACTTAGAACTCTGAAAAGAAAAATAACAGAACTTGTGTTCTTGTGCATTATATTTTATTGAAGACCATGCATAAAATGCTACATGTAAATAATTGAAATGCTTAAATGTCTATTTCCTGACAAGTTTTTCTTGAGCAGCTAAGGAGAAAATTCAAGCTCGACACATATTCTGAATTGGAGGTACTTATTCCTTTTGGTTAATATTTGATGAAATGGAGTTGTTTTATCTTATTCTGATGACCCTGTACAATCATACAGGTTGTTGTTCATGTCCCTACTTCGGGGTCTCCTGTACAGATTGAATTTCAAGTAACTAATAGCAGTGGCTACTTGGTGCTTCATTGGGGTGCAATTCATAATAGAAGGAAGTAAGAAGAGCCTGCATGCTTGCATTACTTTGTTTAACAAAATTTCTTCACCTGAGCCTACTATTGCCTCTTCTCACACTTCGATAAAACTATCTTTTAGTAACTGGTCACTTCCTTCTCGTCATCCTGATGGAACAAAAGTATACAAAAACCGAGCTCTCAGGACACCTTTTAAAAAAGTAAGTTTCTGAAGGTGGTAAATTTTAGTTTATGATTATGTTCTGTGTGCTCAGTGATTTCAGACTCTAATAAATTCCATATTCATATGCTGCATTTTGAGACTCATTGCATCTTCCATATGAACTGATATTGTTAAAATATTTTATCTATATTTAGTCTGGTTCCACATCATCAGTAAAAATGGAGATTGATGATCCTGAAATACAAGCAGTTGAGTTTCTCATATTTGACGAGTCAGAAAACAAATGGTGAGTTTTCGCAATCCTTGTTGTTTGTCTACTAAATTTGGCATACTCATAATACATGTTTTCTTGAACAGGTTTAAACATAATGGTCAGAATTTCCATGTCCAGTTATTAAAACAGGGCTATCAAAATCAAAATGTTTTGGCCTCTGTAAATCCAAATGTTTCACTGCCAGAAGAACTTGTGCAGATTCAAGCTTATCTTAGGTGGGAGAGAAAGGGTAGGCAGACATATACACCTGATCAAGAAAAGGCAAGTGTTATCTATTTTGTGAATAAAACCATTCAATAAGGTTTAGAACTTTAATTTTAGTAACATGTATGAAGTTAGACATTCATAATCCATAGTTCTTATGTATAAATGTATTGTTGATTGTTCTGCCCATTAGAAAAAGATTTTTATGTCAATGTTTTGAGGCATCTCCAGACATTGGAGAGGTTCAGCTTATCGTTCAATTTTCTTCTTCATGAGAGTCAGCCATATGTATTTGCAGCTATTGGTCTTCTCTGATTTTAGATCTGCAGTTTTAGTTAAACATCATATTTGCTTAATTGGCCTTATGGTTTTCTTTTGCAGGCAAGGTATCCTTATTGACCTGAGTCCTAAATTAACAATTAGCACAAAGAAAAAGCTACCAATCTTTTTAGTTGGTGGTTTTTTGTCATACTGCTCTCATGCTTATATGATAGCAACTACCTTGTCATTGATTCTAGCCCCTTTGTCAAGGTTGTTTAGTTTTTTCATCCTTTTTTTCACAGAACTGAAAATTTGGAACTTTCTTTCTTATTTGGTTGTAATTTCAGGAGAGTACGTAACTTAAACACTATTGCTTGCTCCATTTTCCATTGCTTTGTGATACTCTGGTGTCTAAATTGCTATAACTTAAATGCAAGCAATTACTTGGTTTTCACACATCCATCAATCTTGTTATTTTCTGGATTAGGCAAATGGTATCTATTTTTATTCTGCTGTATACATGTCCATTCCATAAATCCTCATGTATGTCCAGTTGGGCTTTAGAAATCTCCTTCTGTTTGTAACCACAATATCACATTGCTTTTTATCAAAATATTTTCTTGTTTAGGTAGCACTATTCCAAAGAAGCATCCATCACTTGCTCAAACTATTTTTTCAACTCAATTTTCGTATCATCTTTAAGTGAAATTTCTTGACATTTAGAAGAAAGTATCTTTCAGGATGAGTATGAAGCAGCTAGAACTGAGTTGCTAGAAGAACTAAGTAGAGGTGCTTCTGTAGAGGAGCTCCGATCTAAATTGACAAAAAACACCACTGCTGGAGCGGACAAATCCGTCAAAGTTGAAACTATCAAAAGTGGGATTCCGGATGATCTTGTGCAAGTACAGGCATACATCCGATGGGAAAAAGCTGGGAAACCATATTATCCTCCGGAGAAGCAGCTTGTGATGCTTTTTGCATGCAACTTAACTATTTATTTGTTTTCCTTTCACCACCTATAAAAATGTTTTTAGAAAATATTTAGTTTCAGTAGCAATATATTTGTTGGTTACTTCTTAATATGGACTTGGTTTGTCATCAAATAGATGGAGTTTGAGGAAGCAAGGAAAGAGCTGCAGCATGAGTTAGATAAAGGAACCTCTCTTGCAGAGCTAAGGGAAAAGATCAACCAAGGGAACATACAAACAAAAGTTTCCGAGCAACTAAAGACTAAAAAGTACTTCAGCATTGAAAGAATTCAGCGGAAAAGAAGGGACATCATGAATATTTTAAATAAAACTGTTGTAGAAATTGCAGAAGAAAAAGTTTCCCACTTACAAAAAGCTCCAACAGCACTAGAACACTGGTCTAAGACTATAAGTGAGAATGATGGTGGTTCAATTTTGAACAAGAAAAAATATAAGCTGGAGGATAAGGAGCTGCAGGTTTGATTATTTCTTTTCCTAAAAACTTTGTTAAGTACTCCTAGAAACTTTATTCCTAGTTTGCTGTCTATCTATAATCTTGCTTTCACTGTTTGAAGGTACTTGTAACCAAACCTCTTGTTAGGACAAAAGTTTTTATGGCTACAGATCAGAGAGGGCCACTTATTCTTCACTGGGCATTATCAAGGAAGTCAGGAGAGTGGATGGTGAGTTTCTAACCTCAAATACTTCTTTATTGCTTAGCATTCAATAAAAAGTTGTGCTAGTGACAATTTTGTCATTTATGGGGTGATTTATTAATCATCCAGGTGCCCCCTTCAAGTGCAATGCCCTCAGGTTCAGTATTGCTGGACAAGTCATGCGAGACCCCTTTTACTGAGGCATCACTGGGAGACATGTTTTACCAGGTGTGACCATATTTATTTTGGAACATGGGACAACTTGGCAACATTAAAGAGCATAAACTGGTGCCATAAGTTATGACATCATAGAACATTTAAATCCTTACAATTGACGATGAAAATGCAGTTTAATCTTGAGTTTTTTGTTAAGGAAATACTAATCTAGAAATGATGTAATTAAAATCCTTCATCTAAATAATTCTTCACATATGATGTTGATTTTGGACTTCAGGTTATTGAGATAGAGATTGACAGTGATGATTACGCTGGAATGCCCTTTGTCCTTCGTTCTGATGAAAAATGGATGAAGAATAATGGCTTGGACTTTTACATTGAGTTGGATACAGAAATTACCAAGAGTAAAAGGGTCTCTGTACATTTTCATTTCTCTTAAATTTATTATGGATAAAATCTCACGTGATTTGATATCTTTGTATTTGGATGTTGAATTTTTGTTTTCCTTGTAAATTGAAGGATGCTGGTGATGGAAAAGGCACTGCTAAATCATTGCTTGACAGGATTGCAGAACTGGAGGATGAAGCCCAAAGATCTCTTATGCACAGGTTTATCATCTTTGAATTTGTTCTCAGTTTTCATCTGGTTCCTGTAGGCAGCTTCTTCTAAAACAATTTTTGAAATCTGATAGATGATATAGATAGCAATACACTTTCATAGTACAAAAATATCTTGTTATTAACACATTTATAATATGTTTACTCTTGAGATATAATTCTTGTGAGTGCTAAAAATAAAACAAATGTATGCTAGTACAATGATGACTAAAAATATAGATTATTCTGTCATCTTATCTTCCTTGCATCCGCTAGACTTTTAGTTGCTTCATGGTGTTTAGTTGTTTAGTAAAACTTTTCTGTTCTCAAGCTTATTAACATGATCACATAACATGTGGACCTTGATATGTTGGTTCCTTCACTTAAACACAGTATGTAGGAATTCTTAAACCATAATATATTAGTACTTTGAATTTATCACGATAATAAGCTTGCTTAAAAAATAATGCTGATCTTTTGAAAATTTTTGCTTTCTTTTCCTTGGAAATTTTGTGGTCTTAATGCTTTCTTTCGATCTTCTGCACCATCTCTAAATTTCTACACAAACTCTAATCTAATCCAATATTCATTCAACAACAAAAACAGTAAAAATGCAAAATGTTCTTTCATTTCTCACTTGCAAAACAACCTGCCCTCCTGTGACTGCTTTTTGCGGGCCATCAATTGCCTAGGGATTACCCTTGCCACACTCTCTTAGTCAAGGGGAATGAAGATTCATTCACCAGAAAACTTCAGAAAGATGCCCACTGCTAGCTTCCCTGTGGTACTTGTTCTCCAGCGATTTACCCCTTGATACACCCATTGTACAGAAAGTGTCAAGAGAACACTAATGGTCGTTAACCATGCTTGACAACAAGTCTTCATTGTGTCATATTAATGTAGGCAGCTGTTCCGGGTTAGAAACTCGGAGTTGTGGGAAGTTGAAACATGGGACCCATTACAAAAAGCTTCTGAGGACAAAACTCTTTAGGTGCAGGGTTGCTTTTCCGCACAGTGAGTGTACCTATGAGGCTTTGTATCTGGATAAAAGTTTGACTTCTCTTTTCTTTCCAGTAAGAAATTTATCTCAATTTGTATATTGTTTTATTTAAATTATATAAAAGTCAGGGATATAATTTCATGGACATGAAGGGACACGTCTGATTTTGGAAGTTTGGCTAGGCTTATAAAGCTTTTGATGCTGGATTGAAGGAAAATAATAACCTATAAGAAGAAACATTGAAAATACAGAAAGCTTGAAAATGCACATTTTTTTTCCCTCTTATAGAGTATAACTTCAAGGTCATATAAGTAATTTTCTCTTCTTTGTTCTATTGACAATGTCATGGAACTTAAACAGGAAGGAGCAAAGTACATAATTGTTTAGGTTTTATGTTTTAATAAGCTTGAAACAAATCAGGGAATTAATTTTCAAATCCAAGGACGTTGGAGACAAACATGGTACAACACAATACAACAAAATACAAATCCTAATGTCCCAATTATTTGGGGTTGGTCTTATTATAATTGTTGAGTTCTATACAAAGTGATATCATATTATAATTAAGAACACAATAGTATTTATTTAAACTTTATAGGACAATCTTTGTAGAAAATGTCAGCCATCTGACAAAATTCTCACTGTCAAAGCTATACTTAATTGTTTATGAATGAAAATATTATTTTATCTGTATTTCCTGATAACTCCACACATTCACCCAACATTCTCATCTCAATGATGCTAGCTTGTTTACCAGCTTCCAGATGTTCATGTTTAGTGTGAATGAAAATTGACAGTTAACTGAAAATATGAACTTGTTATTAATCAAGTGGCAAGGAAATTATTGCTCAGTTGATCTACTGTAGTATGATGCTTTATATTTACAATTGCAGTAGGCATAATCCCTAACTATATACCTAGTGAAGCATATCTATGTATTTATCGTGTATCTAGCTAAATGTCAGAAGAAAAAAAAAGCCTTTCTTGATAGATTGAGTCAAGTACTATTTTAAAGAAAAGTCAAAAAATTCTTCAAACTCCAACTGTACTGTATCCTAGGCTGCTCTTGGCATTTAAGCACTTGGATAACCGTTCGGCCAGCCTATTTCTTTACAGGCATACCTATATGCGAATTTATGTGCAACTATATCATTTTTTTTACAACATTTGTAAGCGATATACACCTTATTTTGTAGTTGTTTCTCCTGTGAGAGCTTTCTTCAGCGCATCTTTTTTATAAAGGAAAAACTAACAAGTTATAGCAATGCTTATCTACTGAACTGGCCACTTCTCATTCTGCCACAGGTTTAATATTGCAGCAGATCTCGTTGAACAAGCCAGAGACGCTGGGCAGCTAGGTCTTGTTGGTCTTCTCATTTGGATGAGATTTATGGCCATGAGACAACTCATTTGGAATAAGAACTACAATGTCAAGCCACGGTACCTTTTTTCTCAAAATCCTTCATATTATAACCATTACAACAGCAAAGCCGTAAGTCCCAACTATTTGGGGTCGGCTGCATGGATCTTTTGCCACCATAAAATCCTTCATATTGTAACTAACAAGATAAATTGTTTATTTTATAAATTATTCAACTCCTGGTTGGTTTGAAAGAAAGGAATATTTAGACCAAGGGAGCAGTCAATAAAATATCAATACACAATATTGGGGAACAATGCCCAGGTGATAGCTCCAATTTATTTATTGTCATCAAGTTGAGAAACTGATCCATGGAATCCATGGAATACCTGATCCATGTCCTTCTGGGCCCCAAAGTCCATCTAACAAGTGTTGCACCTTGAATACTTAAAAATATTAGGACGAGTACTACTGTCCTCTTTATCCAATTTCTGTGTTCTCTAACTCCCTCTCTACAGTCATTCCCCTCATTCTAAGATATCATATTTTGTTGCTTGGTTTCCATAAGCTTAATAAGAATAAATTAATTACTGCAGCAGATTCTTTCCTTGTTGCTACCAATTCTCAAAATTCTATTTTTCTTTTACCTTCACAAACCACCTGAGGCCTGAAATAATGAATCATCTTCACCACTTATCCGGAGATCAGCTGTATCTTGATACATGCAGAATTATAATTTTCTAATTGCAGTGAGATTAGTAGAGCTCAGGATAGGCTTACAGACCTTCTTCAGAATGTGTACAAAGACTTCCCACAACATAGAGAGATATTGAGGATGATCATGTCCTCGGTTGGCCGTGGAGGAGAAGGTGATGTTGGGCAACGTATACGTGATGAAATCTTGGTAATCCAGGTATAGTTGTACCTAAGTCAAGCATGATATTTGTAACAATGGTTTGTTCTGAAATCGTGAAATCACCATAACTCTTTTCATTTTAGAGAAATAATGACTGCAAGGGGGGACTGATGGAGGAATGGCATCAGAAGCTCCATAATAACACGAGCCCAGATGATGTCGTAATCTGTCAGGTACTTGATATATGGATGTACTATGAAGGTTGACATCCTATGTTGCAAGAGAAAAGCTGAGGTTTCTTTTTGCAGGCACTTATTGATTATATTAAAAGTGATTTTGATATCAGCGTATACTGGGAAACTTTGAATAGAAATGGTATTACCAAAGAACGTTTACTAAGCTACGATCGGGCTATTCATTCTGAACCAAATTTCAGGAGGGATCAAAAGGAAGGTCTTTTACGTGACCTAGGAAATTACATGAGGACTTTGAAGGTCAGTAAATACTTTTTCTCCAAATGCATTTTGTCATGGAAATTTCTTGAATGGAATTTCTTTTGCCTAAAAGACTTCATAAGTTTAATATTTCTGTCACTGTAACTGCACTCTGTATGAACATGATAATCTAAGTTTCCTTCTTTCTCTTATGCTTAGGCAGTTCACTCTGGTGCTGATCTCGAGTCTGCCATTGCAACTTGTATGGGATACAAGTCTGAGGTAATTGTCTTGTTTGACACTTATGCTCTGGCAACTTCTTATTCATGATGTCTGATGGAACTTCATTTCATCCTTTTCAGGGTCAAGGCTTTATGGTTGGGGTTCAGATAAACCCTATAAGGGGTCTGCCATCTGGATTTTCTGTAATTATCTTGTCTTTATCCTTTTGAATGATTACTGAGGTTTTCCACTTTGATGTACCAGCTGTCTTTGAACAGGACCTAATGGAATTTATACTAGAACATGTTGAAGACAAAATGGTGGAGCCTTTGCTTGAGGTAAGCATCAATATGTGCAAGGCCTTTCTCCTTCCTTTTATAACACAACATAGAATGAATCATTGAATTGTATCAGTAAGTTTGAGTTTCTGTTACATAAATCCTCTAGTCTTCATTGTTGCTGAACAAAATTTGTAACCTCAAAAGATCAGATACAAATTAGGGAGAGTTCTATTTTTTGACAAAGTATTAATCCCAAAAATTTGGCCCTGCAGGCCTTGCTGGAAGCACGAGTGGAACTTAGGCCATTGCTTCTCAATTCCCATGAACGTCTGAAGGATCTCATCTTTTTGGATATTGCCCTTGATTCTACTGTAAGGACAGCAGTTGAGAGGGCATACGAGGAGTTGAATAATGCTGAATCGGAGGTCTTTCACATACCTTTACATTTTAATGCTGATTCTGTTATTTATTTTTCTGTGGTGTGTCTCACATTTTATCTTAGATGAATAATGTTAAAACTCAGATGCGTGCTTTCTGTGCCAGAAAATAATGTACCTCATCACCTTGGTTCTTGAAAATCTTGCATTGTCTACAGATGATAATGAGGATCTCATATATTGCTTAAAGGTAATCTACTATCTAGTTTTATATCCTCATATATCATTTATTACTAAGTGAACCTTGCATTTAAGAATAACCCATTCGTCACTTTGTTCTGAGGCAAAGAAGATCCATTCATCACTTATAGTTTACTTTTGGAAGATATCTGGATACCTAAAGCAGCAAGTGATTGAACACACAACTAGTTGCTTTCAGATTGATTTTAAATTTCTGAGTTATTACATATAATTAAAATATTTTTTTCTTCAAGTCTTAGTGCTTTTCTTTTATATATTACAAGTGAAAAATTATGTCAACTGGAGACCTAATTTTGGACTTTTGACAAGATAATAACTCTCTCTGACCAATCTTTTGGCCCTTAATTATGTAAACATCATCCTTATGAAGGCTATGAAAATGACACTTAAGTGCAGGTTTAGAATCTTTAAATAGAGGAAGCTGATATGTTTATGCTGATCAATCCTGTGCCATTTGCACCCTTGTTCATACCATATAGCTTAGGATTTTAATTAAGAAACTACTTCTTAGTATTGTCCATTAGTGAGTTACTCTAACCTTGTATTGCTCTTAAAGGGGTGGAACCATGCACTGGAGATGTCTAAGCAAAAAGATGATCAATGGGCACTATTTGCGAAATCATGTCTTGATAGAACCCGACTTGCACTATCAAGCAAGGCAGAATATTACCATCAAATTTTACAACCTTCAGCTGAATACCTTGGATCATTGCTTGGTGTTGAACCGTGGGCAGTATGTAAATTAAACAGGTTCTATTACCTTGGGAGTCTTAATTGAACTTGAGGTTCACATTGGCAAGGACTTATTTTTGTAGGCAAGCATATTCACTGAAGAAATTATTCGTGCTGGATCGGCTGCTTCTTTATCAGCACTTCTTAATCGACTTGACCCTGTCCTTCGGAAAGTGGCACATCTAGGAAGGTTGGTCAAAAACTGCATAATTTCCATATTTATTTGATAACAAACATGGTCGGTCATCTTAGACTTAAATTATAGTTCAACATTTGGTGTTTGGAAGCATATTTGATCTAGTATCTTCTGAATATTAACTTGGATGAATTTTAGGTTCTTTATATTTTAATTCTACTAAAAATCTATGACTGGATGGAACAGTTGGCAGGTCATAAGCCCTGTTGAAGTTACTGGATATGTTGATGTCGTAGATGAATTGCTTGCTGTTCAGAATAAATCTTACACACGGCCAACAATTTTGGTTGCAAAAAGTGTAAAGGGAGAGGAGGAAATACCAGATGGCACAGTGGCCGTGTTAACACCTGATATGCCAGATGTTCTATCTCATGTCTCTGTGCGAGCTAGAAATAGCAAGGTTCTTAGTTAACTGCTTTTGAATGATGATGAATTCTTATTTTCTACAAGTTTTGCTTGATCATTTGGAGTTCTTGTTTATATGGCTTCAACACTATAATGTTGCCACCATGCAGGTCTGCTTTGCTACATGCTTTGATGCCAATATCCTGGCTGAATTTCAGAGAAATGAAGGGAAACTGTTTCGGCTACAGCCCACATCTGCTGATATAGTGTATAGGTAATTTCGCTGCTGTCATAATTGAACTAATATATCAGCTGAAGAAAAATGAAGTCTGATTAGTTACCTTCTTCTGCACTAATACAACCTGTCTTTTTACCCTTAAATGTTATAATTTCTCCATGAAATTAGTTGTTAGTTTCCATATCAATTCATAGCATCTCTTAGTATAGTAGTGGTACATGAATTTCTTATTATGTAACCTTTTTTTTATTCTATTTTTTGTGTCCCATTCAGTGAGATAGACAAGAGTGAACTTGATGATATCAGTTCAGCTAAAGATGGACATGATCAATCATCACCATCTGTGACTTTGGTCAGGAAGCATTTTAGTGGTAGATATGCTATATCAGCTGACGAATTCACCAGTGAAACGGTGTGTATCAAATCAAAAATTCCATTTTTGAATCAGATCATTTTAGCACAATAATTGTGGTGAATTTGCATTGTGCTATTTAAGATAATTTAAAGTGAGACTACCATAAACTAGAAGTTACATTGAATGTTGGCTTTGTTTACAGTGTTTCCTAAGCAACCCTCCTCTTTCATTTGCTCCTAGGTTGGTGCCAAGTCACGAAATATCTCATTTCTAAAGGGAAAAGTACCTTCTTGGGTGGGGGTCCCTACATCAGTTGCTCTACCATTTGGAGTCTTTGAGAAAGTTCTTTCAGATGACATAAACCAGGTAAGTCTTGTATTTTTGCTGCTGTCTGTGATTGTTATTGCTATACTGTATTGCTGGAATTGATATACTTGTTTGTATTGCTTGAACATTGTGGTTGAGTTCCATGAACTTTAGGATAATTTCTTAAAGTGATTTATTAATTTATTTTAAATTTGACATTCCATAGTCATGCACAAACCATGAGATAGTAGCATGTATGTTGCAGATTAGTAGAAAGTAGTTCATCCTTTATCCATCTTAATTGTTAGTTCATGTTATTATTGTGCTCTAATTCGTAAGCATGTGCATCAAATGTTTCTTTTTATCTCATGAGTGAAATCAGTCCCATCTGGTTACCGGGAAATGATACTTCAGTTAGGTTAAATGTCTTCTATCAACTTGCAAGTGGATGTCATGTATTAGTGTTTTTTTTCATTGTGACACTTCAATTTTTTTAATTCCTCATGTACAGGAAGTAGCTAGCAAGTTGCAGATGCTGAAAGAAAAGTTAGTGTTAGGAGAATTTGGTGCACTTGTTGAGATACGAGAGATAATTTTGCAGCTAGCAGCTCCACGAGTACTGGTAAAGCTATTGCATCTATTGGCAGGCATCAGGTTTACTACAATACATTTTTAAAAAAAAAAAAGTTTTATTAGAATACATAGACAGAAATGTCAAAGAAAAAGTTGGCTCAAGTTGACATTAGACTGCAGAAGTCAAGAAGATATTTTTCTCTTTGCCATAGAAAACCATGTATTTTGTGAATTAAGAGTGTTGATTGCATGGTTATGAAAATAAATTAGTCTGAATTTGATATGCAGTGAAAATTTTGTATAGCATGTGACCGAATAAAGTCAAGCCCATTCGAAGCAATTAAAAATTTAAAACCCTCTACACATGTAGACTAATTTGTGACTTCAATTCCTTGTTATTAGGTTGATAAATCAATGTGTATGGGTGTTCTACATTCTTTGTGTGGATATGTATCTAAATATATGTTATTATGTGTCAATACACTCATATGTGCTAGTCTATACGTTTACATGTACTTATATGCATGCACTAACTAATATACGAATGTCCAAAGATTTCATAAGGATGCCATTTTTATGTTTTAACTTTATAAAAGAACTTGCTTTATTAAGAAGTTGTGTGTCGAGAAAGTCCTGCATACATTTCATTTTTCGCATTCTTAAGTCCTTGCTAAAGCTTAATGTGTTTGGAGAAGAATACCAAGAAAGCTTGGTGATATTAACATTTGAATTTAATATCAGCTGAATTTCACTACTCTTATTATCTGCTTATTGAATTTCATGTTTTTCCCATTTGTGTTATGGAGCCAAATTTTATTGTTGATATCTGTATCAATATTATTTCATTAAGCATCAAAACATAACAGTGGTGCATAATTCTGCTTCAGGTACAAGAACTGAAGGAGAAAATGGAGGGATCAGGAATGCCATGGCCTGGTGATGAAGGTGAAAATCGATGGGAACAAGCTTGGTTGGCAATAAAGAGGGTAAGGATAATTCCGACATGAAAATATCATAAAGATCTCACTTAATGCATCACATTGGTGGTGTTATCAAACCGGGTTTAACATGTTGAATATAGAGTTGTCAATTTAAGAAACAGAGACTTTTGCAATACTAGTTAGTTGTAGTGATCATTTCCTTTTACTTAGTGATTTTGTTTCCATTAGGAAGTTTATGCATATAAATTCACGATCTTGCTCTTCCTGCATACTCTGGACTAGTTGCCATTGAAGACAATCTTTCATATTCATATCCTGTAGAAACAACTTCAGATCATTCTCATATAGTGTTGAAGTTTCTATTGTATTTGGTGATATACCTAATCTGACAATAAGTGAATATTAAAGTACTAACCCCTGTTGGTCCAAGGGACAAGAATGCTAGGTTAGCTAAATGATGGTTATTGGCAAGGACACAAGGGAACCTTGCTAAGTTTGTTTCAGCATCTGGACACAAGGGAACCTGGCAAGGACACAAGGGAACCTTACTAATTCATATGCAAACTGAGAAGAGGAGAGCGTGCATCATTTGTCAATTATCAAATCAGTTAAACTTAAAATTCTTGTTACTTCAACCAGCACGTTAAATTAAGATGGCAAACTTAATGTTTTAAATAAATCCTCTTAATAATATATTTATGTTGCATCAAGTTTCATAGCAGCTTGATTATCTCATCCTCTAAAGGCTTATTATATTATTTTCTAACCACTATCTATTGTCTCACCAAGGTATGGGCTTCAAAGTGGAATGAGAGGGCATATTTCAGCACACGGAAAGTAAAGCTAGATCATGATTACCTATGTATGGCAGTGTTGGTTCAAGAAATCATAAGTGCCGATTATGCATTTGTCATTCATACTACAAACCCATCCTCTGGAGACTCATCAGAAATATATGCAGAGGTAAGCATACAGTTCTAGAGACAAGCTCCCAACTAAATTAAGGGATCCTCACTTTATATTTTTTTACCGATAAAGGTGGTGAAAGGACTTGGAGAAACTCTTGTTGGAGCCTATCCAGGACGTGCTTTGAGTTTTATTTGTAAGAAAAATGATCTCGATACTCCAAAGGTACAAACAACACTCATTTTTGTGCAGTTTTCTTATGACATTTAAGAATCTTTCTCATGAACGAATCTTTTCATTTTTAGGTACTTGGTTACCCAAGCAAGCCAATTGGCCTCTTCATAAGAAGATCCATTATTTTTAGATCTGATTCTAATGGTGAAGATCTAGAAGGCTATGCTGGAGCTGGTCTGTATGACAGGTCAGATCATTTGTTCCTTTATGTTCAATTGTAGTTGTTTTTCAACTTAATTAGCTACTTTTACAGTATTATATTTGATTGCGTTGGCATTGATTATTTGTTTACGATCACAACGCAGTGTGCCCATGGATGAGGAAGAGAAAGTGGTGCTCGACTATGTATCTGACCCATTGATCATGGACAAAAACTTCTGCAGTTCAATCCTCTCCAGCATTGCACAGGCAGGACATGCTATCGAGGAGCTCTACGGCTCCCCGCAGGACATTGAAGGTGTTGTCAAGGACGGGAAGATTTATGTTGTCCAAACAAGACCGCAAATGTGACTTATAAAACCACCACAAATGGACATTGAAGGTATTGTCAAGGATGGGAAGATTTTGTTTGGCCAAACAAGACCACAGATATTATTTATAGAACCACAAATATGAGAGGATGGAGGTCTATACTCCATATTCTTTCAAACAAATTATACGACCAGTGCATTTAGATGTTCTTTTGTAACAGGACGAAGATATCGAGTCCTTTTAGTATTATTTATGATCGGACCAATAAATTGTGGTGCACCCTTGGGGATTGAATACCCGAGACCTACAAAAATGCCTTCTGGATAGTCAACCGTGTAGATTGTGATGGCTTGCATACACGATAGACTGCATTGTAAAGACATTTTAAATAACAATAAAGATAGTATGTTTTTAAGTTATTGAGACTTGTACAGGTAATTAATTATCTTTTGATTTTTCCCTTGCTTTTGCAACTTCCATCTCGCTTCCTATATTTTGATTCTTTTTCTAGCTTTATTTTCTTTTCTTTTCATTCATCTTTTGTTATACATCTTTTATTATTGGGCGATTCTCTTGAAAAAGTTTCACTTTTGTTGCCTTTGCCCTGTTGCTGCTGTCGTCCTATTGTGAGTCCTGTCTTTCTCCACCCTGCTTCTAAGGTAGCTTCTGCTCTTTACTCCCAATGATGCCCTTCATCTTTACTTCCAACATCATCGTCGAGATAGTACCTTGGACTAGTTCGATCGAATTGTCATTGGAATACTGTTTCGGGTTGATTCACACTGTTATAGAAATAGTGGTTTATCACACTGTTATAGAAATAGTGGTTTAGGTCGATTTAATTGTGTTGTCATCGGAATAACACGTTCGATTCGACCATATTATCATTTGGGTCGATTTGATCGTATTATCATTAAAATAGTACTTTAGGTTGATTCCATCATGTTACTATTGGAATATCTCTTTGGATCATTTTGATCATGATATTGTTAGAATAGCGCATTGGGTCGTTTTGACCATGCTATCATTGGGAGATAGCGCCTTGGGCTATTTCGGTCGTGGTGTCATTAGAATAACACCATAGATTGTTTCGATCATACTATCATCAAAATAGTGCTTTCGACCATTTCGACCGTATTGTCATTAATAACGCCTTGGGCCATTTCATTCACGTTGCTATTGGGAGATGCCCCTCGAGCCAATTTAGGTTGTGTTATTATTAAGAGATGCCCTTTTGTAGCGTTTTAATCGTGTCATCATTGAAGGACACTATATGATCAAATTTTACACCATTGTAGAAAGATGTTTCTTGGCCAACTCGATTGTGTTATTGTAAAGGGATGCTTCATGATCGGGTTTGACTATGTCATTGTCGAGAGAAGCCTTATTATCAGGTTCGATTTTGTCATTGTTAAGGGATGTTTTATGGTCAAATTCGGTTGCATCATTATTAAGGGATGCTTGTTGGCAGGTTTTGGTTGTATTCATTGTAGAGGAATATTTCATGGTCAGGTTTGATCATGTCGTTATCGAGAGATGCCTCGTGATCGGGTTTGACTACACATCACCAAGGGATAATTTATAGTCGAGTTTAGCCATGTTATTATAGAAGGATGCTTCTTAGCTAATTCGATTGCATTATTGTAAAGGGATGCTTTATGGTCAAGTTTGGCCATTTCATTGTGGGGATTTATCACTTCAAGAAGTTGAACCTTGTTTATATTGGGAAAGTTTGGCTTCGTTAATGTTAGAAATTACCTCTTTGGGTGATTTGGACGTGTTGGTATCGGAAGCCACCACTTCATGTGGTTCAACTATGTTGGTGTTCAAAATTGCCCTTTTAAATAGTTCGACCATATTGGTGTCATGAACTACCTCTTCAAGTGGTTTGGTTGTGTTGGTACCAAGAGCCATCTCTTTGGGTGGTTTAGCCATGAAGATGTCGAGAACCATCTCTTTAGGTGGTTCAATCGTATTGGTGTTGGGGGCTGCTACTTTGGGGTGGTTCAATTGTGTTGGTGTTGGGAATTACTTCTTTAGGTGGTTTGACTATGTTGGTGTCGAGAGCTACCTCTTTGAGTGATTCGACCATGTTGGTGTTGAGAATTATCTCTTTAGATGGTTCAACTGTATTGGTGTCAAGAGCTACCTCTTCGGTTCAATCATATTGGTGTCAAAAGCCATCTGTTTAAATGATTCGACCATATTGGTGTTAGGAATTGCTTCTTCAGACAACTCAATCATATTGGAATCATGAGCCACATCTTTGGATGGTTCGGCCATGTTGATGTTAGAGTCACCTATTCAGGAGGTTCGATTGTGTTTGTATTAGGAGCCACCTCTTTAGGTGGTTTGATCATGTTAGTGTCAAGAATAACCTCTTTAGGTGGCTCGGCCAAGTTGATGTCGAGAATTATCTTTTCATGTGATTTGATTGTGTTAATGTTGGAAATTGCCTCTTTAGATAGTTTGACCATGTTACTATCGAGAGCCATCTCTTCAGACATTTCGACCATATTGTTAAATCTCGAATTTTGATGCTGAAACCAATTGATAGTGTTTATGATCTGATCTACGTTTTGAGTAATGTAGGAAGCTTCGATCAGGGAGAAATAATTAAAAGCAGGAAGAATCATGTTGGGCCAGAGTAGAACATGTTAGAAGATTGGACGTCGAGCTAGAGGATCGGTCGGCATATTGGTAGAAGGCTTTGGGCCATGGGTTCGAGCATTGAGCCAAGAAGAGCGAAAATTATGCTAAGGAAATCAAAGTGCAGAGGTCAATTGGCCGATTGAGCAATAGGCCGCAAGAGAGGATAATGCGTCGAAGAATCGGACAACGCGTCGATGAACCAATGACATATTGGATAACATTTGATTAGCTTTGTAATTATTGTTTAGATCGAAATAGGTTTTATGTGTAATTGGGTTGGAATTAGGTCAACTCAATTAGGGGCCAATTGGACCCAAGTTTAGGCTGTGTTGTGTTAGAACTAGCCCCAGGAAATTTACCAAAGGATAATTTTGGCAACCCAACAAAGATAATAAAGCGGAAAATATAAAAGCAACAAGAACACTAGATTTACGTGGTTCGATCAATTGACTTTGACTTACATCCACGGATGAAAGAGGAGCAAATCACTACTATAAAAGGGACAATTACAAATGCCTTACGAAGATGTTCCTAGGCCATAAAACACCCGAAAATACTAAACAAGAAAAATCAAACTATAAGCCCAAACTATTTAACTGAGTGTGGACTTAAACCCAAAGTAAACACTTAAGTTTTTCTTGTGGTGCCTCTTGTTGTGTATTTGACTTCAAAGTCCAGGCCCTTATTTATAGTTCCAATAGGAGATAACAAACAAGCCTGATTTTTTCGATGTGGGACTATGGGACTTGCCAAACTAACAAATCTCCACCTTGGCATGTCCCAACAAAACTTGCTCCACCTTCTTCATAAAAGCCCCAATGGGCAATCACCAACAATAAACACCAACCAAGTCCAAGCACTGCTTGAACTTGTAAACTGGAAGATGCTTCGTAAGCATATCAGCTAGATTATCCTTCGTATGAATTTTCTGAACAAGGACTTTCCCCTCAGCAATGGTATCCCATTTGCATCCAACGATTTTCTTACCCGAAGGCGGCTTCACAAAATCCCAAGTTCTATTCTGATGGAGAGATTCAATTTCCTCATTCATCGCAATCAACCTCTTAGCGGAATTATCACAAGAAACTGCATCTGAGTAAGAAGTAGGCTCATCAACTTCACTTGTTTCTTCTGTAACAGACAAAGCATATGCAACCAAATTTGCATATCTTTGTGGTGGTCGAATATTTCTCCGTGGTCTATCCTTAGCTATAGAATATTGCTCTTCCTCTGGATCATCTGCGTCAATAGACTCGGGACCATCTACTGACATTCTTTGAATAGAAGAGTTTGACTTAAAAGAATTAGAACTACCAATCTCAAGCTCCACCTGCTTCTGCGCACTATCATTTATGCAACTAGTATATTCTTCTTTAGAAGATAACATAGACAATTCATCAAAAGTAACATCTCTATTGATTACAAATTTTGGAGAGTTGGGATCAGAACACCATAATCTGTATCCTTTCACCCCAGAAGCATATCCAAGGAAAATGCATTTTTTAGCTCGAGGCTCTAATTTTTCTTTATTTATATACATGTATACTAGACACCCAAAAATTTTTAAATCAAAGTAATCAGCAGGAGTACCTGACCAAACTTCCTCCAGAGTTTTAAAGTTAAGTGCTGCAGAAGGAGCACGGTTGACAACGTAACAGGCCATATTAATCGCCTCTGCCCAAAAGTCCTTCGTCAACCCTGCATTTGAACATACACCTCACTCTCTCCAAGAGTGTTCTGTTCATATGTTCGGCCACACCATTTTGCTGAGGCGTCATCCTAACAGTGCGATGCCGAACGATTCCTTCATTTTTGCAAAATTCATTAAAGTCACCTTCATAAAATTCCATGCCATTTATCTGTTCGAAGCCGCTTAATCTGTTTACCTGTTTGTTTCTCAATCAAAGCCTTCCATTGTTTAAAGGTTAGAAAAATATCATTTTTATGCTTCAGAAAATAAACCCAAACTTTCCTGGAATAATCATCAATGACAGTCAACATATACCTAGCACCACCCTTAGATTGAACATGAGTTGGACCCTAAAGGTCTGAATGAATATAGTCAAGAGTACCTTTCGTTTTGTGAACTGCTGGAGAATTGAAGCTGACTATTTTCTGCTTTCCAAAAATGCAGTGTTCACAAAAATCTAGTGGCCTAGTACTCTGTCCGCAAAGTAGACCCCTTTTGCTCAATATGCTCAAACCTTTTTCGCTCATATGACCCAAACGCATATGCCATAATTTGGTGATGTCAGAATCAGACAATGATGATGATGAGACTGCAACTGAGCCTGTGACAGTAGTTCCCTGCAAAATATATAAGCTACCAGACCTGCAAGCTTTCATAACAACAAGAGCACTTCTAGAAACTTTCATAACTCCACCTTCAGTTGTGTATTTACACCCAAGGGCCTTTAGGGTGCCTAAAGAGATGAGATTCCTTTTTAAATCAGGAACATGTCTAACATTAGTGAGCGTCCTCACAATACCATCATGCATTTTAATTCGGATTGTGCCTCTACCAATAACATCACATGCGGCATTATTGCCCATCAAAATAATTCCACCATTACAAGATTCATATGTGGAAAACAAATCCCTATTGGGACACATGTGATAAGAACAACCCAAATCTAAAATCCATTCATTTTTAAACATCGTCCTGTCATCAGTAGCAAAGAAAATATTTTCAACATTCTCATCAGATGCTACACTAGCTTCAGCGAACTCTAGTTTTCTCAACAAGTTTTTCCTTTTGCTTTAATTT